GGTCCGGGAAACTCACAAGGGCAGTTCTAGTCTGTCCTATGGGGTTGGCTCACTGGCCGTGAGTTTGGTTTGGGTTTGGGGATGCATGCCTGTATACGGTGTTGGTAACGACCTGATTGTCCTTGCCCTCCCCTTCCCATTGTGGCCCCCTGGGCTGCAGTCGGGCAGACACCGCCAATGGTGTGCTTGAGATGGTTGCAAACCCACGTGTAAATAGACAACATTCAAAGAAGAAAACCCCTTCCTTCACTGAGTTTGAAATGTTTATTTTGCACCGGTAGCTTCAGAGAGTCCTTTTAAAAGGTTAGCTCAGGAACTCAGAATTTGCCTTTGTCCTCCCTCATGCTGAGCCTTTGCTTTGCTCATCTCCATTCTTGAGCTTCCACTGGGGGCCTCTGCCAGCAGTCCTCGGCCCTCGGCCCTGGGCGTTTGTATGCCACAGCCTCTCTCTGATGGCGCCCCAGGTGTGGACGTCTCTGTGCAGAGCAGCTCTCAGGTAGGGCAGATGCAGCTGAACTGCCCTCATCCCCAGCTGGCCTGGATGTCACTGGACATCCACGCTCTGCTTCAGGGCAATTGATCTCAGAGCTCCATCCTGGAATCCATACTATGCCCAAAGCAGGAAGCTAGATACTAGATAAATCCTGACCTCAGAGGGTCAGCCTGGTTGACATGGAAGAAGGAAAAGCTAGCAACACCTGGCAGCCAATGGATTCCATCTGAAGGCAGTACATTGATTTGCTTAGCATTCGAGCATCAGGCATGCCCCCTGCAATGTTCTCGATAAAGACATACGGCAGACTTCTGACCACAGGGTTAGGTGATCTGAAAGGAAGTTAGATAAGAAGCTATTAAAAACCCACCTCAGTAAATATGATTGCCATTGAGGTAAACCCAGCCTATTTTAAGACTCTAAAACAAGATTGATAGGAGCCCTGGTGGTGCAGGGGTCCGACGCTTGTCTACAAACCACAAAGTCAAGCGATTTGCACCCACCAGCTGCCCGTAGGTGAAAGATGGGGCCACCTACTTCTGTAAAGATTTACAGCCTTGGGAACCCCATGGGCAGCTCTACCCCATCCCATCAGGTCACTGTGAGTCCATAGACCCGATAGTTTGCATAAACCTACACCGAAGTAATAGTTCTAATAAAATCGCTAGACCGTGGCTGGGTGGGAGCCACTGGGTTAGGCCCATCATGTCATTTAATTATTTAATTGATTGTATGTTGAGAAGGCACACAGCAAAACACACACCAAGCTAACAGCTTGTTCAGAGACACGGAATATGTTCTCCAAGCTGAGCCACCATTCCCGCCCCCCTCTTCCGGGTTGTCCCTTCACCATGAACGTGAGCTGAGTCTCCCAGCCAAACCATCATGTCATTTTCTCCCACGTGATTCTCACGGTGTTTTTGGATACAGTCAGGGGAGGAGCAACGATGATTTCCAATGTTTAGATGAGAACGCTGAGGGTAATAGCTAGGCCCAAGCCCCACGGTATGGAAGAAAATGAGCTGGTTATCTAGCCTGGTCAGTTGAGGGCCCCCCTGTGAAACTAGCGCTCCCTCGAGGAAGTCTGACCTGAGCCGAGCCAGAGGGCTGGCTGGGTAAGAGCTAGCCATGCAGGGCAAGGCTTGGGCAGTTGGGAGACGGCAGATCTTACAAGCTTGGAGAGCTGGAAATGAAGGGCACGGGGCTGGGGGGAGATGGAAGAGAGCCTGGCACATGGTGGAGGGCATTGTCCCTCTGAGCAGCTTAGTCACTAAGCCACTAAGCCTGAGTGGCTAAAGACAACTTCACAGAGGAGAGGAGATTTGGGCGGGGAGGGGAGGTGGCCTGTTTTGATTTTCTTTTTAACTTTCTGTTGTGAAGGTTTACAGAGCAGATTGTCGGTTTTACATTCAGCATCCCATCAGACCTTCCGATGCCCTGTCCCATGTCTGTCATCCTGCGCCCATCTCCTTCCTGTTGGATATTGCCTTTCCCATCACCCAACTTAACACATGTCCAGCCCCTAGCCTGCGGCTTCCTCTTCCATCCCTTTTCTTCCCAGCTCTGATGACCATCGGAGTCATGTTTCTTTTAGGATGGAAATGTTTTCTTGATTTTTTTTTTTTAATAACAGTGGTCTCATATAATCTTTGTGCTTTTTGTGATTGACTCGGCATCAAGCCCTCCATGCCATGAGGTGCTTCACAGAGTCATTGTTAGTCTTGAACGTGTGTCCTATTGCAAAGTTCATCTATCCATTCTTCCCCCAGTGGACATCGAGGTTATTTCCGTCGTTTTTGCTAGTGGCCATAATACTACTAGTGCTGCGATGACCTTGGGTGTGCACATATCTGTCCCTTCATGCTTTGGCTCTTCGTTCTTTAGGCTGTGCACCAAGTGGAGGGGTGGCTGGGACATCAGGTATTTCTATTCCCATTTCTTTTGGAGGATGCACCATTCCACTTTCCACAGGGATCGTACCCCCTTTAGTCCCATGCAAAGTGTATGATGGTCCAAGGGGTGCATTCTGATTTGGGTTTGGAGCCCACGTGGCAGCATGGAAAGAAGGCAAGACTACCAAGAGAGACAAAGTCGAGCCTTGGCAATGACTAGACCAGGCTCTAGGTCAGCAGTTCTCAACCTGTGGGTTGTGACCCCTTTGGGGGTCAAATGACCCTTTCACAGGGGTCGCCCGATTCATCACAGTAGCAAAATGATAGCGATGAAGTAGCAATGAAAATAATATTATGGTTGGGGGGTCACCACCACACGAGGAACTGTATGAAGGGGTCGCGGCATGAGGAAGGTTGAGAACCACTGCTCCAGGTAAAAGATGTAGGAGGCACTGAGTCTAGCAGACCCTTTTCCTTTGGGTGTGGTGTGGGGTGTGGTTGGGGGAGGGGGTGCTAAGGCACCTTGCAAAGGAGGGCAAGTCATGCTACCTAACCTGAGTCTGCCCCCCACTCCCCACCCCAGCCTATGCTCAATTGCAGCCACACCAGCTCCTCTCACAGCCACCATCAAAGCACCTTCAGCCTCAATTTGTGATGCAGCAGCAGCAGCAGCAGCAGCAGCAGCAGCCGCCAGTGCCACCATCCCCGCAGCAGCCACGGCCTGTGCTCCAGCCCCAGCCCCAAACCCAGCTCGCCTCCGTCCCTCCCAGCTTGGCCCTCCAGCCCAGCTCAGAAGCCCACGCCATGCCACTAGGCCCAGTTACACCCACCCTGCCACTCCAGGGCCCCACTGCCAACCTGCACAAGCCTAGCAGCACTCAGCAATGTCATCCCACGCCAGATACGGGGTCCCATAATGGACATCTGGAGGGCCCATCTCATCTCCCTCAACGCAGGTTCCAGCACACCTCCGCCGTCATCCTGCAGCTACAGCCTGCCTCCCCCGCGGTGAGTAAGCTCCTCTCAGGGTCCAGGGAGCAAAGGGGGCAGCCCCGGGCTAGATGATCACCAGCACTCATTGAGTTTCGCTTCTGGGTAGGCTGAGTGTTGAGGCCACGACTGGGCATTCCAAGAAAAAGAAGGGGCTCTCCCTAAGTTGGGTCAAATGGGTATCATCTTTATCTGCCCTCTGTCCTCCCTGGAAGGGATGGTTGATGCCCAAGAATGTCAAGGCAGCCCCTAAGACGACCTTCTCTCTATCCTGATCCTCCACAGCCCCAGCAGTGTACCCCAGATGACTGGAAGGAGGTGGTGCCTGGGGAGAAGAGCGGGCCGGAGACTCAGTCTGGCCCATCACCACACCACCAAGCCATCATCCCCGCCATGCCTGGTGGCCTTCCTGTACCCAAGAGCCCTAACATCCAGCATTCCCCAGCTCACGGTATGGGGTGTAGTTAGCAGGGCACTGGGGAGGGAAGAGTCAGCCTTCCTTGCCATCTGTGGCCTTGTTCCTGGGGGCCTCAGGAACGATCGCCCGGTTCCGAAACCTCGAGGTCATTGCTGTCGGGGGTCCCTGGAGCTGGATGCACACCTGCCAAGTTGAGAGCTGAGGCAGTTACCCAGGTGTCTCCGTTCTCTGTTCCCTTTAGTATGAGAAGGCGCTCTTGACATCAGAAATGCAGCCAGATGCCCGCCATAGCTCAGATCAAGGACATGCCTAGGCTGTGGCATTCAGGGTGTGTCCAGCTCACAGAAGCATCTTCAAAGGACCTGGAATCACCATGGTCCATCTGCGAATGCAGTTACAAGGGGGGTTGTTCAGGGTCTGGGGGTCAGGAGACTCTGCTGGGCCCCTCCACCCTGATGGGAGAGTCACCGCAGTACCTCCGTCTGCTGGCCAGATCCGTTTGCTTTCCTCCCCCTGTCTTCTGGGTATATAGCAATTCTGGCCCAGATCTCAGGGCCATTCTGGGCCAGGAGCCGAGTGCAACCCAGGCGGGCAGTTCTAGCCAGTGGGCTAAGACTGTTGGGAGAGAGAGGAGGGCGAGTTGAAAGAAAAAGTTTGAGAAATAGAAAAGGAAACACTAGAAGAAAAAT